AATTTTGAAAATTGAGAACATTCTCAGTTTTGAAATTGAGAACATTCTCAGTTTTGGGATTAAAGGGCAAAACGTCTTTTTACCTATAAATAGGACTTATTGATTCAAAAACTTTTTGACAGGACCTAAGATACCAACAAATATGTAGACAGGACTTTTTGGTAATTAATCCAAAAAAATATTGATAAAAAATTATTCTACATATAATATTTATTGAATGATTTTTTTCCCTTATAAAATAGTTCATCAAATAAGTTGTGTTTTTTTCTGAAAATAAAGACAATAAGAAAAACAAAAAACACAATTAAATAGAGAAATTTGGATATAAAGAAATAATTTTCGCTTTTAATTGGGTCACACCTTATATTTAAAAAAAATGTAGATAAAATGTCTCTAGTTGTGGTTGCTTTACCTGCCTGATCAAAATAATAGGCAAACTTCACTTTACCCCCTCTGGTTTAGGCTATGTGCGGATTACTCCCCTGACGTTCGAATATCACCACATAACCTCCTTCTGGTTGATGGAGTAAAGTGCACATTTAACAGTTGTGCATTTAAGAAGAGTAAGATAGAGAACTTAGGGTCTCAATCTTTTAAATTAGGGTTTTGATTTAACAAATTAATTTAAACAACATTGTACGGGGAGGACCATGTAAATAAACACAGTGACTAGTTCAAAAACTTGAGTTAGTGATCAGCATCTGGGTTATCTAGGTTGGTTCCCTCTTAAACTTTAATTTTCTTTTTTCCCAATATATGTAGCAAGTTTACATGTACTTCTGAGGCTCAAATTAATTTAAACAACATAATTTTTATCAAAAATTAATTAACGTTCAATTTGCCTTCAAATTTAAAGTTGAAACCAATTATTTACCTTTTTTTTCTTAGTTGGAATTTGAGTATTACACAATAAATTGCGAAATTGTTTCTGCCAATATATATGTATATATATATAAATATATGTGTAGTGGTGTAATTTGAAACAAACCAATTAATTAATCAATTCATCAATCAAACAAACCAATTAAATTAACACACAAATATTACATACAAATTTGTGAATTCGGACACTGTTTCTTCACCATCATCTATTTGAATTCGAACACTGATTCTTCATCATTATCTGCGTTCATTGTCGTTCGTCACCGCTGTTTGTGACCTCCATCGCTGCCGATCTACCGATTTGACCACCACCACCACCGACGACGAAGCTGCGACGGCACTGAATCACCGTGTCGGCACCAGAAATACAAGGCCATCTTTACCACTACTCTCTCTCTCTCTCTCTCTCATATGGTTGTAATGTAATGAGGTTTTGTGTCTTGCATTTGGACTTCTAACTTGGTGGAATCGTTGTTGGGATTTTTTTTTTATTGTTTAATTTTTGGGATTTGGATCTGGGATGTGGTAGAACTGGATTTGAGATTTCGATCTATGGTAAACTCATCTTAAACTTGTGTTCTTCTTCATACAGTCATTTTTCTAGATTGATTGATTTCTTTTCAGACATAAAAATGTTTGTGTTGAAATTAAAACATTGAAGGAGCTATTTTTCTCTTCGTTTTGTTTGCTTTGTTCATCTCTCTGATGGAGGAGGCTACCACTTGAAAAACTTTGGGTATGTTTGGTTTGAGTTTGAAAGATGAGTTTTAGAGATAAAAAGTACGAAAAGTTGTTTGGTTTGGTTTTTTTCAAAAGATGTTTTGGAAAATTATTTTGTGAGAGAGTTTTGGAAAAAGTGATTGATTTGATGTGTATGAGAGAGAGATTTGTTTGGAAAACTTGTAAACCAAACAAGTTTTGAGAAATTTTTTTGGGAAAATTTGTTTGGTTTGATTACTTTTGAAAACTTATTTGTAGAGAATTTTTCCCAAAAATTTTTGGGAAACACAAACCAAACAAGGCCTTTATTTTTTTAAAAAAAATCATCTTTTCATTTTAGGTAATTGTTTGACACAGGAATATTGGCAGAAAGGATTTAACAAACCTGTTCGATTAGATCTCTTGAGTTTGTAATTTTACTCTTTTTTTTCCCCCTTTTGGGTAGAGGTTTTCAGATCTGGGTCTTGAAAAATAAAGAAGAAAGGCTGCTTTGGAAATTAGTGATGAAGATGAGGGCATTTTAGTCATTTAATTCGAATGAAAAATCATCTTTTCATGCCCAATTGCACATTACTCGCGTGTACTACACAACTTGTTAGAATAGATGGAAAAGTTAACTATGTACTTTACTTCATCAACCACAAGGGAGTTGTGTGGTAATATTCGAACGTCATGGGATAATCCGCGCATGGCCTAAACCATAGGGATAAAGTAAAGTTTGCCCCAAAATAATTTTCTTAGGTTTAGGATAAAATAGATAGAAAATGAAGGAAAAAGAAAAAATAATAATTTTTATGAGTTTGTTTAATTTGAAAGTAGTGGAAAGTAGAATTAAATTAATTTTCTTATATAACATATATTAGCATTGTAACTTATTTTTAATTTCTTTCAAAAAAATACAAGAAAAATTAAATGTGTGAGTTATCTATAATTAAAATTTTAAATTTTTCTATCTTTTTCTTATAAAATTTTCAAATTAATCAAATATTTTCAGAAAAATATTTTTTTTTTTCTATTTCACTTCATTTTCTTTCACTTTCACTTCCACTTTCTATCAAATTTTCTTTCTAATCAAAGGGAGGAGTCTTAGAAAATGAATGGTTTTCCCAGAAAATTTGAGCTTTGATTGAACATGAAACTAAAAACATAACAAATTGAATTCAAATTCAAAGAGTTAGGTTAATGGGCACCAATTAGCCTAATCCATTCATAATTATAAGCACTAAGAGAGATCCACCTAAGAAAATCTTAAGTAACAGCGATAAAACAAAAATGCTTTATTTCATTTCAATTAATCAACAATATAACAGGACACATGATAGCTATATATAAGAGAGACTATTGATTCAAAATGTTAAAGTTAATTCTTGCCTTTTGAATAAAAAATTAGGTAACCTTTCTCACACTGGATCCAAAAATTCCAAATGGCTCATCTTCTTTTTTCAAGAGAAAATATTTTTTACAAAAAAATAGTTTTTCTATATTTTGTTGCATTTTTTAAACTTAAATACTAATAGTGGTGATGAGACGATGGAGGAGGTGACGATCATGTGGTAATAATATTGGTAAAATTTTAGTTTAGGATATGTTTTTTATTTTTTAAACGTGAGAATTATTTTTTATCAAAATAAATATATTTTTTATTGGCTAGAAAAAAAAATTTATAGTATTAAATGTTAGAAAATACAAAAACCGTAATAAACAGAACATATAAGTGAAAATATTTTCAAAGTCTAATCGAATCTCTATAACTAAAATTTTAATTAATTGCTTACATTTGACAATATGTTTTTTGTTATTTAAAAGTGAAAATTATTTTTTACCCAAATAAATATATTTTTGGGCGAATTATACTAATAGTCCATATAGTTTGGGATTCATGTTACATTGGTTTCTAATTTTTCAATTGTGACATATTTGACTCTGAATTTTAAATCTTGTTTCTAAATAAGGACAATTGAAGATACCATTACTTAATTTCAAGGGTAAAATCATAAATTTGATAACTATAAACTAATTTGATAAAAATAAATATCAAAAAAATATTTTTAAATTTTTAAAAATTATTTCTACTTACCAAAGATAAAATTGTGTAAAATTGATAAATCTTTTAGACATTTATTTATTTATTTATTTTACCAAATTAATTTTTATTATATGTTTGGATACTGACCATGTAATGGGTAGTTGTTAAACTTTTAATGTATAATAAATATATTTAATATATGAAATATTTTTAGCTTTAGGTTTTTTTGATTTAATGGATTGGTTTAATAATGATATCAAAGTTATCATATTTGATTTTTGGATAAATAAAAACTAATTTAATGAAAATAAAAACAATCACCCATTACATGATTATCATTCAAACACATAATAAAAATTAATTTGGTAGATAAATAAATAAATAAATGTCTACAAGATTTATCAATTTTATATAATTTTATCTTTAATGGGTAAAAATAATTTTTAAAAAGTCAAAAATATTTTTTGACATTTATTTTTGTCAAATTAATTTATATTTTATCAAATTGACATTTTTGCCCTTGAAAAATCCAATGGTATCATCAATTGTCTTTATTTGGAATAAGATTCAAAATTCATGGTTAAATGTGTCACAATTGAAAAATCAATGACCAAAATGACACAAACCCCAAATTATAAGGACCGTTTGTGTAATTCACCCTATATTTTTTATTGATTACAAAAAAATAAATAAATAAATCATCATATTAAACATCAAAATAAATAAATAAAATAAACAAAATAAATAAGTGAAAATATTTTCAAAGTCTAATCGCATCTCCATAACTAAAATTTTAATTAATTGCTTACATTTACAATTTGTTTGGCTTTTCTTATTTAGTGGTTACATTTGTAAGATTTTATTTTTATTTAAAAAATAAAAAATAAAAAATTTGATTTTCACCTTAAGGTGAAAAATGGGCTGAAAAATACTTTATATCCAAATTAACTTAATTTCTATTAACAACAAAAAAAACTTTTTTTTTCCAATCATACCAAATGTAAAAAATACCAAAGACATTTCCACTAAAACAAACAGCGCGGAGCATAGAATACAACTATACAATTTAGTTTTTGAATTGATCAATGACTAAAAAGATTACCCTTTTATGTATATCAGATTTGCTATTGAAGTTCCATCATTTTCTGTTTTCGTTTTTTAAAAAATACAAACTTGTTTAGCAAACTGTTTTTAAAATAAATTTCTTTTAACAAACCACTTTCTAAGAAAACCTCCAAAAAATTACTTTCAAATTTTCAAACACATTTTTTTGGCACAAAAATTAATCGATAACGGGGCTCAGTTAACCATTTATCAGAAAATTTTGCCTGATGGAGTGAATGGTCAAGATCTCTACAAGAATAGTACTTAATGCTACAAATTAGAGATGATCAAATTTATGCTACAAACACAATGGAAAATAATATACAAGCCCATAATATAGATCAATTTTCTAGACCCAATGATGTATAAATGATATGATTAGTTGATAAATAGAGAAGATATGAGAAAGAGTATTGCCTTTAATATCCTAATTGATTGCCACATCATTGGGTTTGAAAATTGAGTCTAATTTTTAATCTTGAATAGCAATGCTTTGTTACAATAACTGAAGCTGTTGGTTGCAGCAGTTTCAAAGAACTCAAAACAAACCATGATTGTCAGTCTGAGAATATGATCTTCAATTCTTTTGAACCAATCTCTGAAGTGTTTGTCTGATCATTCCTGTTGATACAATTTTGGATCCCTTGAACTGCAATTTGAACACAAGTCACAGTTAAAAAGTGTTTCTAGAAACAAAAAAGAATAATAATATTCTCAAACAACAAAAAAGAAGAAAAATAAGGCAACCGTCAAAGCTTGACTTTACTAAACAAGCAAGAAAAGTCCTTTCTATCTTACTAGCAAAGCGCGTTAGAGAAAAATAGAAAGTTGAAATAAGAAGTCGATCACGAGGTCAAACCTTAGATTTGATAGTTAAGGAGAGAATCCCATCGATGTTGGTTGATTGAACTGAGTGAGAATCCAAGTGAAGGCGGCTTATTGCATCCACAATTTCTAGCAGCACGAACTCCCTCCAAGGACATCTAATCTCAATCACGACATCCTTCTCAATCGTACTGACAGTAACATTATCTGTCAATTTATCTTTCAGTAGCACCCGGTTGATCTCAGTTTCCATTTCATTGATGTCACTTGCTTTCCTCTTGTTCTTCGAGGCCTTCTTTCTGTTACCAATGTGGTCGTTTCCATTGTTATCCGATGTCCACTCTGCACTGTCTTGGCGCTTAGCCACCATGCAAGATTCCAACTCTTCAACCCTTCTCTTGAGCTCTTCTAGGTGTTCTATTGTGTGGTCGAGTATGGACACTTTATCAACCTGCATAATCAAAGTCAAAACCTCTAGTGGTATGTTTCTTGAATCAAATACATGTTGGGACCTGGTTTTTAAATATAAGCTGATATGTATCTGAATTTTGAACTTCTGATACTGATATTTATCAATATCGGCCAATATGTGACAGTATCGCTACTGTTATTTAAAACTATAGTTGGGATGGGACTATAGACTGAACTACCTTGTTAGTAGAAGGGACCAACGATCCAAGAACCAAAAATCTTTCCTTTATTTTTTCCCTTCGTCTCCTCTCTGCCAATACGTGGCTTGAATTAATGTCATCAACCTGCGGTATCCATAGTCCATCTCCTCTCCCATTATCTTCTCTAGAATCAAGCAAACAATCACCATGCATTCGAGCAACTTCAAAGAGTATTTTCTTTACCAATCTTTGTGGAGTTCCAATTTTAGGCATCTGAATACCTGCGAAACCTCCTTTCTTCCAGCTAACAAAGCTTGATTCTTGATTGTAGTTTTGAAAGTGCGGTCCCAATATCAGCTGGTGGGAGCTCTTCAGAAGTGTCGAAACAATGCTTTGGTAGTGGATTTCATCGATTTGAATATCTGATGAACTCATTTTCATTGGATTGTCTTCGTGTCGTTCGATCAAACAATCACCATTTTCCTTCAAAATAGGGCTGACCTTTTCAGGGTTAATCAAGGTTTGAGGTATACAGTCACTGGAACTCGTGGAATTGTTGACACAGTTGCTGATTTCATCATTTAGACCTTCAATCATAAATAATTCCTCGGCCTGTTGATGAAGTCTGGTCCTGTTTGAGCTACTATTGGGAGAACAAACTTCCATTACTCCAAGAATTTCCTGGTCAAGCTTGGCGTAGACACAGTCTTTGTTGTACTGTGCATTTCCTGAAACAGACCTAGATGTTTTGGAAACAACTGAGAACGGAATCTTCAAGAAGGACGTTAAAACGTGCTGAATGAGACTGGGGTCTTCCACAATCTTCAAAAAAATAAATAAACAAAAATTTACATCAGAGGAATATGGCTCGGAATTAGATGCAAAAAGTACTAAAGAGAAGTCTACAAAATCAATTTACCAGCTCGGTTACGCCCAGCTCGATGACACCTCCCAAATATGGGAAGCATACCACAGTCTGCAAGTCAAAAACAGGATATCGAAAAATATTAAATTTAGTTTTCATAAAGACGTGTTCGTATATACATGGGTTTTGTGTCCTGCATTTGGTAAATCGAGTAAAATGGAAATCTAGTTTTAGTAAAATTGGTGTATTGCTTAATGATTTCATGTTTGTACATCAGAACATTCGCTAATATGGAGTCTTCTCAGTATGTTCACATAGTAATAGACTGTGTTTGGGCCCAAGATTAAATTAAAACAAAAAAAGGTACCTGAATAGATGCACTCTGCTTAGGACAGTCCGCAAAAATCCAGCAGTTGAACCAGAAAACACACACAGAACAATTCAGTTTATGCAGTTAGTTTGAGCATTATATAGATTAGATATTCCATGGAAAAAGGAACTTTTCTCAGATTTTAATTAACATTCTGTTTGTTTGAGCGGAAAACATTTTCTAAAAGAAGGCTGCCAAGAAACACGAAGTTACCTTCGCCAGAAGAGAGCGACAGAATACTTTGCTATCTGCAAAAGGAGCGTTACATAGCCAGATGGGTTGATTGTTCGCCAAAGTTCTTCCTGGCAAACTGGGGAAAGACGGGTGAACACACAAGAATAACCAAATGAGACTTTGCAAAAGTTAAAAACTACAAATTGTTACTAAAAGTCTCAAGCCCCAATCATGCAATTGCATTGGTACAGCAGGAAGGAGTCATGGCCCCGTTTATTTTGGGGTGTAATGAATGGAAAGGGATTAGGATGGAGGTAGGGTTATTTAGTGTTGTGGTTGTTTGTAGAGTTAGGGAAGGGAGTAGGATGGAGGTTGGAAGGGGGATTGGGATGGAGGAGGTGGAGGTAGAGGTGGAGGTGGAAGTGGTATTAAAAAAAGAGCAATGCTAGGTATCATGAAAAAACTTTCATGAAAATGATCATGAAAGATTTATGACCCTTGGATTACACTTAAAATAAAACACTACACACTAATCAAGGTAATCCAAGGGTCATAAATTTTTCATGACCAATTTCATGAAAGTTTTTTCATGATCCCTATCTTTTCTCTTAAAAAAATAATGAGGGGATTAGAAATTTTTTTATTTTATACATATTGGGAATTTTTTTTAAACATTAATATTCAATTTTTTATATTTTTTTATTTGTTTTATTATTTTAATAAAAATAATTTAACAATTCTTACATTAATAACTATCATCAAAACAAGCACAATTTTACTTGGAGGTAGAGGTGGAGGTGGAGGTGGTATTAGAAAAATAATGAGGGGATTAGAAATTTTTTTATTTTATACATATTGGGAATTTTTTTTAAACATTAATATTCAATTTTTTATATTTTTTTATTTGTTTTATTATTTTAATAAAAATAATTTAACAATTCTTACATTAATAACTATCATCAAAACAAGCACAATTTTACTTAACTCCTTTATTATCGATACCCTCACTATAAATCTCCTTTATTCTACTTCTGAAAACAAACATAGCCTGTATGTTTGCAACATGGATGGTTTATGCGCAAATCCTAGATGACAATGATGTAGAATAGGTGGGGTAGAAGAGTTCCTATAGCAGTTGGATCCACAAAACCCCAAATTTAACGCAATTCCGAGCTTGTTGGCCGGAAATTACATATATGCCCTTGGTGGCATTTGCTCTGACGCTGGTGCTACGTCAGATAATAAACAAAATAGATCCAAATGAAGAGGGTAAACTAACTCCTATCATGTCCATCCAATCCAATGATCACTTAGTGCAGCACCGACACGAGGAGGGGTTTTTCTAGAGAAGCTTTAGACTGTCTTGAAAATTTTAAAAACGAGCGAAAAGGGAAATTACCATTGGCCGATATTGAACATGAATGACATGCAAACCAAGTAATACCACTCTGTATCGGTGAGGTCTTCGGGGGATAATGCAGCTGAAGGCCTTCTGGCCTGTGGCCAGTTTTCATCTGCTGCAAGCGACTCATAAAGTTCTCTCAATTGGTCACTCCTCAGCAACCCTATTCGGTCCGCGTTAAATTCTAGGGCTTGAACGGTTCTTCGGGTCTTAATATCTCCATTGTAGTACCCATCACCCCATTCCAATACCCTACAAAAACAATTTACAGTCAATAACAAGAAGAAACTAGAATATACTAATAAGATGGGTATGAGAGACTGCAATTGTGCTTATATTCAAAAATTCAAAACTTGAAAGAATGGTGACAAATAAAAATAATCTTAATTCTACCTTAAAAGCAATTAAATAAATTAAGTTATGAGAAGAGAACATTGCAAACATGAAAAATCTCCTGACGGTGAATTGCATTCTCTCAGCAGATTAAGGTCATGTTTGTTTGGGTGGACATGAGTTTGTGATTGGACTAATAATCCAATAAAATTATTAATCTGATGTTTGGTTAACCAATTAAAGTACGGACTAATTATTTTAAACTTAACTATTAGTTAAGATAGGATACATAATCCAACGAATTCGTAGTCCTAGGACTATTAGTCATGAGAATGTTAATCCAGTCCACCCAAATAAACATGGCCTAAGAGTAAGAGAACAATACACCAAATTCTATAAGCAGAGGAAAAAAATTTCTTGAAATTTCTTGAAATTTTACAGAAGATTTTATTGTTTTCTCAAATTTTCAAAAACTGTTCTCACACAAGAATAAAAAAACTAAAAATAAAAATTAAAAAAGGGGTGATTTCGTACCCTTTTTTTTTGTTTTTTCTTCCAAAAACACACCCAAAAAAAAAATTTCCAAACAGGGGCGGCTCTGTTTGATTAAGTTTTCCTAACTTTTTTGTTTTTTATATATATATATATATATATATATAAAAAAGAAGCTAGTTTGACAGAAAATAAATACCAAAATAGATATTCTTAAAATTTCAAAAATTATTTTCATACCAACAAAGAGAAAATGGTATGAAAATATGAGTGTTCTATTTTCTCATTTCTTTTCACCGAGTTGGTTTTAAATTTTTTATTTTTTGCTTTTTTGGAAACAGCCAAACAGAGTTGCTATGAATTAAGCCTATATGTAGTTAGGGATATTAGCTAAAAAGAAAAAGGAAAAAAATGCTAAAACTTTTTTAAATCACCCATTGCAGATAAATTTAGAAACAAAGAGAAGGAAAATTTGTGTGAAAATGATGAACATTAAAGAAAACACAAGAAAATAAATTTAGAGAAGAGAAGAGAAGAAAAGTTGAATACCCTGGATGCCTTGATGAAATGGACCAGAATACTGCATAGCTCCACTGAATATTTCTAACAGCAAAAGCAAGCTGTTTTCTCAGGTTTTCTGGCACTCCCCACTGATTATGGTGCCCAGAAGCCATTCTCTCTCTCTCCTCCTCCTCCTCCTCCTCCTCTCTCTCTCTCTCTCCCTCTACATATATGTGTGTGTGAGTAGAATCATGAAAGAAATCCCACCAATCAATCAGATCCCAGAATATGTTGGAACTTGGACGTGAGTTATATCATTGATTTTTTAGAAGAGTGGTGTTGATTTTGCTGAAGTTTGATTGGTTTTCTGAGCAACCAAACAGAGCTCATAACCAGTAGTTGGGCTCTTTGGCTTGGAGTTGAGAATGCCAAAGCTAGGAGGTGGGGGCAAATTTAAGTAGGTGTTTCTGGGCTGCTAGTTGAAGCTAGGAAAAGCAAGAGAAGACAATAAAGATTTAAATATATTATTTCTAGTTGTCTATAGAATCAGAGCAATCACTCAAAAGAAAAAGAAACATCTATATATGTATATACAATTCACAATAATAGTAAATTTCAGTTCTTGGGAAAAAATTATATGATGTAAGCTTTTTTCATGTGAATTTAATGTTGTAACTTTTTATTGGGATTAATCTCTCAAAAGTGCAATAAGGGCTAGTTTAGTGTAATTTTTTAAGGCCAACTGTATTTCAATTGGACTGTAAAAGTATAATTGCACAGAAAAGGACTTGCATCATACATGAGAAATTTGCACCTCATGAAAATGATTTTTTTTTCCCCACTATCTCACTCATTTGAGATTTTTCAAAATTTTTGTGCACCATGCAATATTGTCTATTTAGTGCTTCAAGCTAATTATGTAACAAATTTTTTTATGTTAAGTTACATTTACTATGTAAACAATACTTTCCCATACTTTGAGAATATTTAATCAATTTTTTTTATGATTTTAAAAATTAATTATCAAAAAATAAGAAGCACAAACTAAAAATATATATATTTTTAACTTTTCAATAATCAATTTTTTCAAACTGAAAGATTGGCAGGTGAAGAAACATAAATTCATGTCAAATGAACAATGGAAGATTTTATGAAATGAAACTTTGTATTTTCTTTTAAATTATGGGGGCGGAAAAAGTTGTGGCTTTTTTGGCCAATAAATCTGAAACACTAGGGCCTACATTAAAAACTACAGAAATCACTTTCTAGTGAAAGGTGAGTTCATATTCATAGAATGATTAAATTAGGATATCAAATTTTGGATAGTTGTGTATTTAAAAGTCTTGTTTAACAAATTTTTTTACTAATTTTAAAATTATTTAAATATTTTTACTCATTTCCAAAATATTTTTCACTTCAATTTGAATGATAAACAATGCTAAGGTAAAGATCATGAGAATATTTTTTAAAATTATTTTTAATCGTCTCATTTATTTTTAAAATATTTTTCATTACAGTAAGCATTTGAAATCTAAAATTTTGTAGTTTTAAGTAGTGTTTTGTTCGATATAATGATTTTACACAGGTATGATTCTAAATTGGTGAATGGTAATTATATTTTCAATATAAGTTTATTTAATTTTTATTTATTGAACTATGCAAAAGAATAATGAATATTATTAAAAAATGAAGATTTCATTCCAACCTTATTTTAATGAGTCAAGCACTCCCCACATTATTAATGAATATTTGCACTCAAAAAGATTAAATAATAAAAACCCATAAAACAAAACTGGGGGAAAAAAAAAAGAGAGCAGTATTTAAGTTTTTTTTTTGGTTGAATGCTATGCCACATTTGTTCATCACATTTGAGAGTTGTTTTGATAAGAGAGAGAGAGAGAGAGAGAGAGAGGGGGGGAGGGGGAGAGAGATGCGTTGGCAAGTAGCAGAAATAATAGGAGCAAAAAGTGCCAAAAATAATTATTAGACTTGTCCCCTAGTATTAATATATATATTAACAAAAAAAAACTGATATGCTATAGAAAACTGTTCAAAATTAAATGTATAATGTAAATTTAGACTTTATAGTTTTAATTTTATCAATTTTATTTTAAACTTTATGTAATATATATTAATTTAATCTAATTGATAATGCTTAATACCTAGATTGAAAATTAAGTGCCAAAATAATTTATTAATTTTTCTTAAAATGATGGAGAGATTTGCTTTTAATTTGAAATGATATATTTTGAATAGATCATTTTATTTTTATTTTTTATTTAATTTTAATAAATATTATTAATTAGATTAAATTAAAATATTGTTAAAAATAAAAGTGAAAATTTAATACAAGTAACAGAAAAAATAATAACAAAAATACAAAAAAAAAATTATTACACTTGTCCCCTATTGTACTATAATGTAATGTTTTAACAAAAGAATGCTATCTTCCAAAAATATTACACAGTAATTGATTAGATTGAATTAAAATAATGTTAAAAACAAAAGTTAAAATTTAATACAAGTAACAGAAAAAATAATAACAAAAAATACAAAAAAATTCATTACACTTGTCCCCTATTGTACTATAATGTAATGTTTTAACAAAAGAATGCTATCTACCAAAAATATTACACGCGTAATTGATTAGATTAAATTAAAATAATGTTAAAAATAAAAGTCAAAATTTAATACAAGTAACAGAAAAAATAATAACAAAAAATACAAAAAAAAATATTACACCTGTCCCCTTTTGTACTATAACGTAATGTTTTAACAAAAGAATGCTATCTACCAAAATATTTCACACGTAATTGATTAGATTAAATTAAAATAATGTTAAAAATAAAAGTCAAAATTTAATACAAGTAACAGAAAAAATAACAACAACAATACAGAAAAATTTATTACACTTGTCCCCTCTTGTACTATAAGGTAATGTTTCAACAAAATAATGCTATTTACCAAAAATATTACACACGTAATTGATTGGATTAAATTAAAATAATGTTAAAATAAAAGTCAAAATTTAATTCAAGTAACAGGAAAAATAATAACAAAAAATACAGAAAAATTTATTACACTTGTCCCCTATTGTACTATAAGGTAATGTTTCAACAAAATAATGCTATCTACCAAAAAATATTACACACGTAATTGATTGGATTAAATTAAAATAATGTTAAAATAAAAGTCAAAATTTAATTCAAGTAACAGGAAAAATAATAACAAAAAATACAGAAAAATTTATTACACTTGTCCCCTATTGTACTATAAGGTAATGTTTCAACAAAATAATGCTATCTACCAAAAATATTACACACGTAATTGATTAGATTAAATTAAAATAATGTTAAAATAAAAGTCAAAATTTGATGCATAACTAAAAATACAAAAAAATTTATTATTGTACTATAACGTAATGTTTTAACAAAAGAATGCTTCTACCAAAAATATTACACATGTAATTGTCAGGGCTAGCTTTGACATCTTGTAGGTGAAAGTGAATTTTTAATATGAGATCTTTCATATATTTTTATAAAAAAAAATTGATCAAATGATCATGTATTTAAATTTTGATCATATATATAATTTTTTTAATTTATTTAAATATTGGGGAATTGACCCATAAATCCTAAACGGTGGAATTGTAATCTAATCAGTCCCATATTTTATTTTGTACACCCAAAAGTCCCATTATTTGGGGATGGACAGTTTTGCCCATGAATGTATTGTTTTTGGTTTAGTGATATTATGTTTGATTGATGTGGGTGTATATAACGTTTGGAAAAAACTTACTATAATTTTTTTAGAGTTTAGTAGTATATGTAGGGGTGTCCACGTTTTTGATGACCCACACGGTGGTGGCTCACATCATTTTTTGAAGCCCACAATTGAAGATAACCCTTTTTTCTTTTTTTTCTTTTTTTTTTTTTTTTTTTGCAGAAAACACAACTTGGTGGGCCACATCAAGTTGATCAAATAGAATTTGATGGCCCACTTCAATTTCGCGAACCACGTTTGGATCACCCACATCATAACGCAAGGCCCCATTGGTAATCAAACATACAGAGTAACAAACCACACCGGAACAGGTCATGAGCGACGATGAAAAAGTCTTCCCGTCGTCGGATGATCGATGAACACATTCCACACCAAAGCCAAGCGACAACCCCCTCCACATCGTGGGTTCCACACCAAAGCCAAGCGACCGTCCCCCACCCCCCTCCACATCACAGAAACAGTGTGCAACACACTGTTCACCATCTCACTTCACACGCCATACTCTCTATCTAAACATTTTCTCTTGAAGAGTATATGTGTATGTATAGTGTATCTCTCTCTAGATTGAGCAAAGATTGCTGCGAAAATCAAATAGAGATCGAGAGAGAGATTCTTTTCTGTGACTTTTCAACCTCTGGTTTTGTTCATCCCTGCGGTGAAATGGAGCTTTCCTCCATCAGCTGAAATACACGTAACTTTCACCCAAATCATCACCTTTGTCTTCATCCCCTCTATATCAGATAGTTTCTCTTTCTCCAGATATCCAGTTACAATGGTTGAGAATCGCAAAATAGACTTGTCTCTGTATCCCACTTCACAAATCGAGAAGGTGTGGGAGTTGTGGCCGTTGGTGGCGGACTCCGAGCAGAAGCTTGACATCTTCAACAATGGATGTTGAGGTTCCTGCTGCGGTCGTTGTCGGTAGCGGTGTCCGCAGCATTGATCTCCAGCGGACCTCCCTATGGATCTCGACCGTACATGCACCTATGCCAAATCTAATCAGAACCCATATCTGAATAGGAAGATAATTCCCCACACTAACCTAATTTCCCAAAAATATAATCCAGATTGTAAAATATCGTAGTTGATTTGGTTTGAAATCTCATATGTGAGTATTGGTATGGAAACCACATAGTCGACCCACATTTGGAGATTTGTTCTCGATTTGTTTCCGGATTTGCAGGGATTCAGTTGGCGGTGAATAGTAACGTGAGCGGTTTCATAACCCACGGTGATTAGAAAGGAATAGTTCTGCTAGTGTTGTTGTGTGAAGGTGTGAACACCCTTAATCTGATGACGATGCCGAAGGACGATGAGTATATGTATCTGGGTGATGGTGTGGGGTGTGGTGAATGAGGAGGGGGATGTGATGTTGGGGATTGGGATGGGTTTGGAAGTGTGTGTTTGTGTTTGAACTTTTTTTCCTGTATGGGGGATGGTGTACTGTGGTTGTGTTTGAACATTACAACACACACATATACTTCAAACACACACAGAAGCCTGCTCCCCACAAATTGTCTTTCCCAAAACAGAACCGTAATTAATGGGATTACCATAGCAGACAAATAAGTTACCACACAGAACCAAGGGCAAACCAGTCACATAATCTACCCCAAATCAGCCAAATGGGATCTTCCGGGTAACATTACCAACAAAATAGGACTTCCAAGAGTATTAAAAATAAAGAAGGATCTCACTGTCCAAAACCCTCCCAAATGGGACTTTTCAATAATTTCCCCTTAAATATATAACAAAATTTACAATAAACAAAAAAAATAAAATAATTC